TAGCCTGTTAGCGGTATTGTTAGTTTTTTAGCAAACAGTTTCTAAAAATTAAATGAAATTAAAAAAGAAATATGTTTCCATTTTAAAAACAATAAAATCTTAAAATTAAAGGAACGTTAAGTTAATTAAAAAGGCTAAAAATTAAAAAAGTATGTATCTAAAAATGAAACAAGAAAAAAGTAGTAAATAAAAAAACGCTCAAAATTTTTATATGATCAAAATGTTTGTCTTTAACGTTACAGTGGCACTTATTTCACTTTTCTGTGTGAACTTGATGTCTTATAAAAAAACAATGTACCACGAATACAAATAAAGCAAAAACTACAACAAAAATGTTTGCTTTATTATAAAATAATACGAACTTTTATATATGTAAAAGGAGCTTTTAGTGTGGTCCATATTAAAGATTAGTTATTAAAAAAGAGAAGAAGCCAAGTAGAGGTTCAATTCACTCACGTTTTATCTTAGTATAGTTCCTTTTATATAGAAGAAAAAGCCTAGCACCGTCAGCCAAAAAAAAAATATTAAATATCAACGCGATTCTCCTAGCATCTTAAAATTTTCACTTTTTCCTACTTAAATTTAATACGCTATAAAGCTGCATACCTAGAATTTTTCTAAAAATTATGAACCAAAAGTTTAAAATTTTTGGGTGTAACTGTTAAAATTTGTTGAAAACTAAAATTTTTTGTACGAAGTTTGAAATGTGGATTTATGTTGTTCTGGTTATGTAATGTACTAGACTTTTATAAAAAAAACTATGAACATTAAATAAACAGAAGAAAAAACCAAAACTTGTCAAAATGTCACTTACCTAATCAGCTGACCACAAGGGTATATAGGTAATGAGCGAGTCCGCGCTTCCGCCCTTCTCCCCTGCGTCCACCTCAACAAGCAAATAAATCTTATCGGCCCTGTAAACCTACCTCTGGCAACTGTACATGCTTGACTGTTGAACTATTCTTATCTAATTATGTGGAAACGAAAATGCAATTGTGGTAAACATTGACAATGAAGTTCTAACATTATGTAACAAACCCGAAACACTACTTCAACTTCTGTAATTAAATATAACAAATTTTACTTTTTTTTTGTCACGGGTGGGTGTCACGCAGATGAGTTCTACTACATATTTTTCTTACCAAACACTTGAATTAAGAATCGCAAATTATTTGACAGTTATTTCACAGTACTTTCAACACAATCTACTTTAAACCTACTAAAAAAATGTATTTATAACTTCATTTTAAAACGTAAAAAAGGCAATAAAAATGCATTTAAAGCTACTACCAGAAAGAAACTAGAAGGCTTTAAAATATTTTTTTTTTTTTAGTATAATACTTTAAAGTTTATATATAATTAAAATGTTAAAATATTAGTTATTATTTGCTCCATACGCAAGGGATCGGACTTTTCGTCGCGCCATCATCTTCTGCACGAGTGCATCATCAACTTTACGCGACGCCCACAACCACTTTGTTTTGAATTCTTCGATATTTCTTACAGTTTCACCCGTCTTCTTCAATATCCCTTTCACGATTGACCAATATTCCTCAATAGGACGTAGCTCTGGGCTATTGGGTAGATTGCAGGCGCGAGATACAAAATTGATGTTGTTTGCATTATACAACTGCAATGTGTCCTTGGCATAGTGGCAGCTTGCCAGGTCCGGCCAGAACAGTGGTCTAGTACCATGTCTGTTGATAAATGGCAAAAGACGCTTTTTGAGGCACTCATCCCGATAAACTTGAGCGTTCATTGTCCCGGATGTGAAATAAGGGCTGCTCTTACGGCCACAAGAACAAATAGCTTGCCAAACCATGTATTTTTTTTTTGAAATTTGGATTTCGTTTTCAGCTTACAGCTTTCAGGGGCATCTTGACGACATGCAGCAGTATAAAAATCTTGACCAGCAATATATTTGAAATTTTGAAAGCAGTATGTTTCGTCGTCCATAACAATGCATTTGTATTTGGTAATTTGGGATTTAGCTATAACGTTCTGCTTTGCGTCTCGATCTGGCGCTGTTTGAACTTTAAAACTTTTCAATGAAGCTTTCCGCTTTATTTTTTGTACGAAAGACTGCGATTTACGAACAGATTTTTCAACAGAACGCGACGAAGTCTTCGGATCTCGCGAAAACGCACTGAGGACCTTTCAAGCACTGTTTTTATCACTTTGACCATACTCACCCACGCTTTCAGGTTTTCTGGTAACTGCCAGACCTTCCTTGTACAGATTCGAAACCCTGCAAACTGTCGAATGGTGCAATTTTACATTTTTAGCAATTTTACGTGTACTTAAGGCCTGATTATTTATAAACTCGTGCAAAATAATTTGTCTCGTTTCTAACTCGGTTGCCATTTTTAACTTAACTAGAAATCAAATTCAAATGAAATTTCTCCTACGTGGAACTAAGGTCATGGTCTACTCATGGCATTTGAGTTTCAAAATATTGAAACCTTTTTAGGTGAGTTATAAGTTTCCCAAAGTGTCGCAGTTTTGGTGTGTTCACCCTTTATTGGACAAAAAACAACTTTTATAGTGTTTTTGCAAGAGAGGGAGGGACGTAGTCTTCGGCTTTAAAAAGGAGTGAAACACTCCAACTGGACTGAAAACGGCAACGCTGCCGAGTACCTTTCAAAATATTCAAATTAATAAATGAATTGCGTAAACGGTACTTGTTTTTATACACGCGTGAGACCCTTTTTAATAATAACTAAAAGTACGATAGAACCTATAGAAGAAAGAGTCAGATTTGGTATTTGGCCAAGCATTGTCACTTCATTAATATTATCCAAAATGGATTGTGGTAATTTTATTATACATACAAAGATATTATAACAACCATACCATTTGTTATCTTATCTTGAAGACATGTTTTTGTATGGGTTTGATTTTTTTGTATGGGTTTGATTTTTTAAACCCAATAAAAAGGAAGTTCTGCAATGTGATTAACCTCACATGGTGCCATCTGCGCAGTAAATACATATCGGCTATCCGTGTTGATATGTGAATCAGTTTTTGAACTCGTCATTGAAAATACGTTTGATTACTAGTTGCATACTTTGAATATTGACTCACAATTACAAACATATGTCCATGCTTAAGGCTCAGAAGTGTACGGGAACGCAAAAAGCACTATTTCCTGCAAAAACATCAGCCAGTTTGTGTACATGCCATTGGTACAACACTGACTTGGCTGAAAGATCACTAAATAATTATTAAAATCTATAAAATTAAGAATAATTACGTACATATTCAAATATTTCGTTGTTTACTTCCATTTTTTTTTTTAACAAATGTAAGGTCCTTTGCTTTCATCGCGTTCTGTTTTTGTTTTGTGCATTTTATTGTTGTGAATTTACAAATGCAACGAATATGCAAATCCAAGAGCATATGCACAAGATCCTGAACAACCCTAATATAAACATTAAGTTTGTTCATGTAAAAATGATCCAGTAACTTACTTATTTTATATTTATGGGTTTATTTTGTCAATTTCCACTATAACACAATTTAAATGGAAAATGATTTTTTATTTTCTGTCCGTTATAAAATTCAAAAAATTTAAATTTTTCACTTAAATTTCTTTCGTGAAAACGGCAGTAAAAACCCCATAAATAATTTTCTTGTTAGTAGGTGCGTTCGTTTAAAATCTCCAATAAAAAATTTCCAATAGCAAAATTCCAGCGAAATGTCATCTTTATCCCACAAGAAAAAAATATGCAAAATAGTACACGAACAGAAAATCATCATCATCAGCTGTTTTCTCGAATGCAAGTTCTTACTGGCATACAATTTTCCAGTAAAAATTTGCAACTTCACTCCTAGAGAACTGTAATTTTGCTCTCTCAATTTCCCCTACTTTGCAAGTTGTTTGGATACATAAACACCAAAACTAGAAAGTTTTTGATAATTTTTGAAAACTTTTGATTTCATGAACACTCTTATTAGTTATGTTTGTTTACAAATTATCCAGTAACTTGCTAGCAACTCTCCAGTAACTTTATTTCTAAGAATTCGCTCTCATAGAAAAAATTTGCAAAAAAGTACGTGAACGCTATTCAAGTAATAATTTGCAAGTTTCATGAACAACTGATAAATTGGTTGTTTATTCGCAACAACAAAAACAAATTCCTAATAAAACAATATATTTTAAAAATATTTAAATAGGGTTATTTTGGGAAATTCAACAATAAAAACCCACAAACAGTTTCCTTATTAGTTTAAATTTCATCCAGCAACATGCGATCAGCTGTTTTTCGTACTGGCAAATTCTTACAAGTAAAAATTTATCCAGTAAAATCCAGTAAAAACTTGCAACTTCAACTGTAATTTTTCGCTCTTTTAATTTCCCCTACTTTGTAAGTTTTTGCGTACAAAAACGCCATAAACATGAAAATTCGTAAAAACATTTATTGCATTTTACTGGAAATGAGTAAACAAACGCAACTATTGTTTCGCTGTTGTCGCGTTCTCAGCAGGTCATAACAATAACAATGACAATTGTCACCATTAGAGCGTTTAAAATAAATTTGCGGCATAGCATTAGGCGCAGCTGCAAAGAAAATAGTCAACAGTTGAGTTTTGTCATCGGCGTGGGAATAGGGCACCGTCAGAAGCATTAACAATTAAAAGGAATCTATAGAAATCATCAAATTAAGTGTGAACGTACTACGAAACTAAGTAATTTTCGCTGCAATAGGAACATACATACATACATTTGTAGTTTTGTCTGAATTTCTGTGGGTCGATGATGTAAAAGGGGAAATAAAAATTATTTGACATACATATGTTAAGCTGTTAAGCTGTGGAGTTAAGACACAAAAGATGGGCATGAGATATTTGGAGCTTCTGTCAAATCGGTCTTAATATTTTTACCGAATTATTTTGGTGGATGTGTTGAAATATCGTAAATTTTTTTATTCAAGTGTAAAACCCGCAACGTTTTTCGTGATCCACCCTAATGTACTCATTTTTCTTTTTTTTTCTTTTAGCAAATGTCTGAAATTTACGTTGGACAAACAAAACGACCAACGTTTTTTTTTCAAGCTATCAAAATAACCGCGAACGCTGCATTCATCAGATTGTTAAAAAAATCCCAAATTTAGCCGCTTAAGAACTATCGGCTGAGTTGCTGCCTGCCGTGCTG